GTTTTTACTGTGATAAGCAATATAGTGTTCTCTAGCATTTGATGAAGGGGTCTATAGGCATGACAATGACATGAAATAATAATAATTATAATAATAGTATCCCTTTGAAATGTGTCTTCTATTTTAGTCTCCAAATATCAAAGGTACACAACCAATTGACAGTTGAGAGGTTCGCAGCTTGATCTGTTAGGAACTCTTACTTTTTGAGTGCAGTGGTCTGAGCCAAGGCTTGTTCCAGATTGTGGAGAAGACACCCTAACAAATGCCTAAGTGGAAAACCCGGTCTCTGAGCAGATTTACATGGTGGAGCCCTGCAGGTATGCAACCCTTGGGTTTACTCACAGACAGAATATTGCAATGCAAGGGCACGTGGCTTGTGGAGCCTCCTTGTTGTATGTATTGCAGTGGGATGTTTTGCTGATGAGCAGTGCAGAGTTGCCTCCTTCAGCTTGGCTCTCCAGCTGCACAGACAGGACACAGCTTCCTCCTAGAAAGAAGAACCCACCTCGTTATTCAAACTAAACTTTCTCATCTGGGATTATGGGTCTTCCAGTCACACTGGCTATATAAATCTAAACATATCTCCACCCTTTCCAGAGTGAAATAGGTACTAGAGAAAATCCCTTTATTCCTAAGTAGCATGGACATTTCAAATCACGTAACATGCACAGTACCTTTACATTCACATTTTTAGAATGGGAGAGAGAGGCTGGAGGACGTCTAGGATAAGGGCACATTTTCCAGGTTGTTTTCTTCCCCCTTTTTATTTAGAGGAAGTGCTTTTTGCCACAGGGCAGATACATTTTTACAGCACAATCCATTCTCCTTCCCTCATAGGTCTTCCTTGTACCAGCAGCAGTGGGCTAAGAAGGGGGTGCAGCATTTCACTGGAGGGTATTTCAGCAGTTAGAGAACTATCTAAATGATATTGGTCAGGCCAGCTATGCATTTGCTTGTCACATTCACCGCAAACTGTCAGCTGGCTGCACTTACAGCCTCTCTTTCCTAGTCCTTCCCATTTCATGGCATATTTAAGGGGATCCCCAAACCAAATCAGGTGAAACCTAAGCAACTTCTCTCTTGTCAAGGCTGTGGGTTCAAAAATGACATTTTCATTTCCTCAGAAGTTCCTGAAAAATACCCATCGTAGCATACTGGCAGGGAAGGTTATTTTGGGATAGACACTGTTTCTTTCTTTTCCTTCTCTTTTTAAAAATGTTAGTAATTTCTACTGCTGTGCAGGAAGCCTTTTACTGTGGTGTTCAGAAGGCTCTTGAATTCTTGTCCCACTGATTACAGAGCAGCTTGCAATCTGATTGCACTCAGACTTGCAGCCATCCAGCCACACACGCAAGTGTGTGCGCGCACGCACACACACACACACACACACACACAAAAATCAAGAAGAGTTGATGCCACTTTAGAATCATGAAAAACTGCATGCACTGAAAAAAGTTTTGATGTTGCATCAGCACATCCAAAAGAAGAAATACTTTATAAATCAGAGCAGAGCCTTTAAACTTTTCCTCTCTAGAAATGTGTGCATGCTCATGTATTACTTATAAGTTACTATACATGAAATCCTCAGTCACCTCAGCTCTGCAGCACCGTAGGTGAGAGAAGCATCGTATTGTGGCAAAAAGGCTAACTAGCATCAGGGGAGCCCTCCTTTTCTAGCAGGGGGCATTCATCATGACTTGGGAAGTCACTTAATCTTGCTGTGTGCCTTGTTTCCACATCTTTAAAATAGGAATAAAAAGCATTTTGCTACTTCCTGTGGACTTTGGTCTCTAGGACACAAGATGTAACAATCTTCTGTCTAAAAGTCAGCCTACAAGTGCCAATGTGCTTATGTGTGGGGGGAGTTGACCTGTTCCTTCCTCCTCCCTCCCCTTGAAGCACAGTGGCAGGCAGCCTGCAGACAAGATGACACACAGGCAGGCTCAGTGCAATGCACAGGCCCCTTTAATATCCCCTGGGCACTTGCCAGAGTAAACCCTGCAGGATCTCTACCGACTGGAATTTGTGTCTCCCCTGCGCTCTCAACAATCAATAGGATGCCTGTCAACGAGCCGTGCTGTCTGCTGTCTCTGGGCTCTGCCCTAGTGTCATGTTGCTAGGCTCCAGCTTGGGCAATGTGAGCCGAGTAGCTGCCCCCAGTCTTAGTCAGCTCCAGCTGTGAGGCTACATGCTGCAGGGGAAACTAAACCTAAGGGGCTTTGCAAAGCTGCCAGGACCACTGACATGGGAGGGAAGTTGACATATACCATGCCTGGGTTTGTTTGGGAGTTTTTAATGTTGAGTTTTCTCTTAAAGTTTTCATAGAGGTCAATGGGAAACTTGTTACTAATTTAACTTAACAGGAGCCTAGGCCTCTGTGTGTGTGTATGCATGCATGTACATATATGCTTATAAAACCAGAAACAGAGAAGAGCATCATTGCACCATAGTCTGAATCTTTTAACTTAAGGACTCATTTTAAGGACAAGATTTATCAGCAACAACATAATAACACAGAGCACGACAGTTACTAAATCATCCATCCTAGTTCTCCTGAAACGTACCCATCATGGAGCAATTCAAAACCACTTCAGACATGTTAGCACACCAGCAAAGCAGGGCAAGAGCTTCCAGTCCTTGCAAAAACTCTTTCTCTGCAGACTTTCAGAAGGGTCTTGGCCTGTTCTGCACATGGGCTGATGAGACTGGCGGTTCAACTTGCCCTCACAGGGTCTCAGGGGAGCGAGGCACGGTATCCAAAAGCCTGGAAGCAGCAGTAAGGCCTGCCTTACTACGATGGGTGAGCAGGTGAAGCGCTGCACCCTGTGGTCCCCTGAGACACTGCTGGACATGAACTTTGGGGAAGATGCCGTAGGGGGTAACCTTGACACACCGGTCTGTGTCCCACACCTGCTGCCTCCTGGGTGCATCTTCCCTCGGTGGTTTTGGCAGGCACCCAGGCTGAGAGGCAGCTCAGCTCCTCCCAGGCGCCGCCTCGGCAGATCCCCGCTCTCTGGCCGTTGCCTCTGAGGTTTCAGAGGTTGCCACCTGGGTTTCGAGGCCCAACTCCCCGGGGAAAAGACTGAAATAGGCAGCGGCGACACGTCTAGGAACACCCACTGGGCTGCAAGCGGCGCCCCTCGACGCCGCAAAAT